AAAAAAAAAAAAAGAGAGATACACCCCAATACGGTAATAACTGAGGACATCATAATCCCTCTGTCAACAGCGGACAGATCATCTAGGCAACAAATCAACAGAGAAATACAGGATTTTTTTCTTAATGATATAAGCTACCACATTTTTATTTTAAATGAAAGCTCTCTTCTGCTCTTTTTTTTTTTTTTTTGGTGAGAAATACTATTTATTTTTCTAATTTATTATTTTAAAAATTTTTTGTCACAAAAGAAGTCAATGCATTTAAAAAGACTAAGATGATAGAAAATGTGCAGCTCACTGGGTGAGCGTGGTGCTGACAACACCAAGTCAAGGGTTAAGATCCCCTTACTGGTCATCTTTTAAGAAAAAAAAAAAAAAGAAAAAGAAAATATGCTCTCTCCAGAGTAACAGAAGGAAATTTAGAAAATTCACAAATATGTGGAAATTAAACAACACTCTCCTAAATAAACAATGGGTAAAAAGAAATATCACAGGGAAATTAGAGAGTACTTTGAGATAAAAATCAAAGTGCAGCATATTCAAATTTATAGGATGCAGGGCTCATGCAGTGGTTAGAGGAAAATTTATACTTGTAAACACCTATATTAAAAATAAGAAAAATCTCAAATCAATGATGTAAACTTCTACCTTAACAAAACACAAAAAGTAGAGCAAACTAAACCAAAAGCAAATATAGCTGGGAAATAACAAAGATTACAACAGAAATATATGAAACAGGGAATAAAAAACAGTGGAGAAAATCAACAAAACCAAAAGTTGATTCTTTAAAAAGATCAACATTTGCAAACCTTTATCTAGACTGACCAAGAAAAAAAAGAGAGAATCCCAAAATTCCTAAAATCAGAAATAAAGCAGGGACATTACGTTGTCTTTATGGTTTTTTGTGGTTGTATAATTTAGTTTCTTTCTTCTTCTCGTTTGAATTTTTGTTCTACCAGTGGGTTTTGTTCTTCCTTGTGTATTTGTGGTAGTGATTATTATTTTTTGGATTCCGGATTTGAGACTTCCTTGAGGATTTCTCATAGGGCTGGTTGTGTGGTGGTAAACTCCTGCAGTTTTTGTTTGTCTGGAAAACGCATTATTTTCCCTCATTTCGGAAGGATAGCCTTCCTGAGTATAGTATTCTCAGCTGGCAGTTTTTTCTTTTAGTATTTTGAATATATCATCCCATTTTCTTCTGGCCTGTAGTTTCTGTTGAGAAATCTGCTGTCAGTCTGATAGTTGCTCCATTATAGGTGACTTGACACTTTTCTCTTGCTTCTTTTAAGATTCTTTCTTAGTCTTTGAGCTTTTCCAGTTTGACTATAATGTGTCTTGGAGAGGATCTTCTTGGGTTGAATCTGTTTGGGGATCTTTGAGCCTCCTGGATCTGAAGGTTGGTGTCCCTCCCTATACCTAGGAAGTTTTCTATTATAATTTTGTTGAATAGGTTTTCCATGCCTTTTCCTTTCTCCTCCCCTTCTGGAACACCAGTGATTCAAATGTTTGTGCACTTAATGTTGTTGTCTGCTAGCTCTCTTAGGCTTTTTTCATTTTTTAAAATTCTTTTTTTTTTTTTTTTTTTTTTTTTTTGGTCCACATGGGTTATTTTGAAAAGACTATCTTAATGATCAGAAATTCATTCTTCTGCTTGTTCTAGCCTGTGGCTTAAGCTGTCAGTTTTGCTTTATATTTTGTTGGGTGAATCTTTCAGTTCCATGAGTTCTGCTACATAATTTTTTAAAGTATTAATCTCTGTAAATTTCCTCCTTCACATCCTGGATTTTTTTCATTATGTTGTCTAACTGAATCTTCTCATATCTTAATGAATTTCCTTAAGATTGTTGCTTGGAATTCCTTTTCAGTCATTTCAAGGGTTTCCTGCTGTATAGGTTCTGGTATTTAAGCATTATTGTATTCTTTTGGTGGTGTCATATTTTCTTGGGTTTCCATATTTCTACTATCTCTATGTTGATGTCTGGTCATCTGGTAGAGCAGTTGCTTCTTCTATTACTCTGGAGTGGGCTTTGAGGAGAGGGATGTCCTCTTCTTTTTCTGGTCTCTGCTGGTGACTCCTTGTGTCAATACAGTTGAGTGTCTGCAGGGCTGCTTGTACAGTAGCTGCAGCTACTGCTGTGGTGTCTGCTGCTTTGCGGTAGCCATGGCTGTGGCAGTGGCTGTGGTGGGTCACCTGCACAGAAGTCATGTAATCATTGTACTCCTTGCCTGCCCCCGGGTGGAGGGGGCTTCCCTCAGCTCCTGCCTTAGGACCCCCAGCATGCTCTCCTGCCTGCCTTCAGGCAGAGGGGGCTGCTCTCAACTTCTCAACACTTATTTTATTACACTTATAAGTCTTTTATTCTTTTTGGTGATATTATAAATGTAATTATATTCTTAATTTCATGGCTGGCTTGTTTATTGCTAGAGTATAGAGTACAATTGACTTTTTTATATTAATCATGTATCCTGAAAACTCACTGAACTCTTTTATTAGTTCCAATAGATTTTCGGTGGATTCTTGGGATGTTCTGTATACAAGATCGTATCATCTGCAAATATAGTTTTATTTCTTTCTTTCCAATCTGGATGTCTTTCATTTCTTTTTCTTGCCTATAATGGCAATAGCTAGAACTCCAGTATAATGTTAAATAGAAGGGGTGAGAGTGGACATCTTATGAGGAAAGGATCCAGTCTTTCTCTGTTAAATATCATGTCAGTTTTTTACCATTACATATTCTATCAGCTAAGGATTTTTTCCTTAATGCTTTATGAGGTTGAGGAATTTCTCTTCTATTACTAGTAAGTGCTTTTATCATGAAGGATTTTGGAGTTTTTCAAATGCTTTTTCTGTTTCTATTGAAATGGTCATGTGGTTTGGGTCCTTTAATCTATTAACATGGTGTAATATGTCAATTGAGTTTTGCTCGTTAAACCAACTTTACATTCCTAGAAAAAAATCCCACTTGGTCTTTTTTATTTGCTGCAGAATTCAGTTGGCTAGTATTTTGGTCTGTCATCTCTATTTATAAGGGGTGTGTGTGTGTGTGTGTGTGTGTGTGTGTGTGTGTAATTTTCTCTCCTTGAGATGTCATCGTCTGGCTTAGGTATCAGGGTAGCATTGACCTCATAAAATGAGTTGGGAAGTATTCCATACTCTTCTGTTCTCTGGAAGAGTTACTGAAGGATTGGTATTGATTATTCTTAAATATTTTTTAGTATTCAGTATGTATCTTTAGTATTTTATAGTATTGAAGCCATTTTAGCCTCAGCTTTGCTCTGTAGGTAGTTTTTAAATTACTAATCAATCTCTTCATTTGTTATAGGTCTATTCAGATTTCTTATTTCTTCTTGAGCCAGTTTTGGCAATTTTTGTTTTTGTAGGAACATGTGAATTTCAACTCAGTTGTCTAATTTGTTGACATAGAGTTGTTCAGCCTTGACGTATAGGTAATACTCTGTTGGTTCTCTTTAGTGTTACTTTTTTTTTAAGAAAGCCCAAACTTTAAAATGTCTCATTTATTAATTGTGAGATTGGAGAAAATTAAAACAAAGAATCACATATAAGGGCTATTTCCTCAAAAATATTGGAGCAATAGTAAAATTATTATATCGTTTTCTTTATGTGATCTTGAAAATTCATGAGAAGTCCTTGAGAATAAATAAAAATCATTTTATGTCTCTACAGGTTGGTTTCATGCGTGATCGTCTGATTCAGTTCATCTCTAAATTGCAGTTTGCTGTGACTATTCTTATGGCATCATGGACAGAGAAAAAACAACGTCGAAAAACAACTACCACTTTATGTATACTCAACATTGCCTTCTTTCCCTTTTTGTTGGTCATTATAGTTTTTTCTACACTGCTCTCTTCTCCCTTGCTCCCCCTCTTCACCCTTCCTGTGTTTTTGGTGGGGTTTCCCCGACCTATTCAGAGTTGGCCAGGAGCAGTGGGCACCACAGCCTGTGTGTGTGCAGATACAGTGTACTACTACCAGATGGTCCCCAGGTTGACTGCTGCACTGCAGACTGCAATGGCAGCTGGAAGTTTAGGTATGTAAATGGGTTATGCTTCAGAAATCCTCACAAATGTATTTAAGTACAAAAAAAAAGAACATGACAGGAAAACAGTCTTGAGATTCAACCATAAAACAGGTTTCAATACTTTGATGTGTAGGCAGAAAGACTAAATACGAAATAGAATTTTATCTCTTGCTCCTTGTTTTGAGATAAATAAAGTTATAAAATAAAAATACTCAGGGAAAGTTTTAAAAGTTTTATTAAGGTGACTTGACAATTTTTAAAAAGCAATTTTTTGAATAAATTCAGGTTGCAGCACCATCATTGAAACATGAAAGCACCTTTCCCCCTGAAGATTTCCATGAGTTTATAATGTGTTCATGTTGAGTAGTGCAATAGCTTAGATCCACAAAGAGTGAAACCAGCTTTACATAATATCAGATTGAAGAGCATAAGCGTGTTTATTTATACCTTACTAGTTATTGTGTAAAGACTTAATCAATCTGACAAGGTTACTGGGCAAGATAACATAAAAGCTTTGGATAGTGATCTGTAGGGTAGCCTCCCAAAGTGAAGTGCTATGCAGATATTAGTAGGAAAATAGATTTTTGATGGGAATGAACAAATTTTATGAGTTGTAATGCTTTCATCATACACTAAATTCAAATTCAACTATATTGTACTTCTCAGGGTTGATTTTAGATAAGGTACAAGCTAATGACAGTAATGTGTTATCTCCTACCAAATGCTTTAGTCCCTGAAACTTGTTTTGTAATGACAGATGACTTCCTGGCAAACTGATTCTAGGCAAAGTAACAATTTAAGATTAGAATTTTAATAAAATGTTTACTTGGTTTGAATTTTTCTAATTATCTGTTATGTGCAAAAATTGAGGAAAAAATTATCATTGTAGTACAAATTGATTATGAATGATCATTTTCCTTTTTTATGGGACATGTTCTACATTTTTAATATTTTTATCCAGTTTTAATAAATTTTTGTTATATAATGCTATGCTACTTTTAAAACACCTGTAGGCTTAACATCTGAAATAGTAATGAGGTAGAAATTATACATTATTATCAGATCAGTTGTACACAACCAAGATGTGTCTTATAAAGCATTTCCTGGGTGGGAGTGGTAGGGGCAATAAGATAACATTTCACATATATCTGATGGGCAAAAATGTAAAAAGTTTGACAATACCATGTATTGGTTAGGGTGCAGGGAACAAGAACTCCCATACTCTGATATAAAGGAATATAAATTTGTACAACCACCTTGAAGAATAAACTGGTAGTCTGAAGTAAAGATGTACATATCCCATGGCTGAGAGATTCCAATTTTAGATTCTGTGATCCCAGTTTTAGAGAAACTGTAGTACATGTGTTTTGGGAGTCCTCAAGACCACCCCCAGGTTCAGTGATTGACTAGGAGAGTTCACAGCTAAGATTTATTACAGCAAAAGGATGCAGAGCAAAATAAGTAAAGGGCAAAGTCACATAAGGTAAAGGAGACCAGGTGCAAGCTTCCAGGAATTGTCTCCCTCCGGAATTGTCTCCCTCCCCATGGAGTCACACAGAACATGTTTAATTCCTCAGCAGTGAGTTGTGACATGTGTGATATGTTAACTGCCAGAGAAGCTCATTTGAGACTCAGTGCTCAGGGCTTTTATTGTGGGCTGGTTGTGTAGACACTGCCTAACATGTACCAGTATTCCAGACTCCCAAAAGGAAAGCAGATGTTCAATATATACCATATTGTTTGCACAGTTAGGCACAATGAGAGACTTATTAATTAGGGTTGTTCCCAGATGCCAGCCAAGGGTGAACCTTATAAAGCCTTTGGAAGGATAGCAGTCAGTCCTGCTATGTTAATTCTTTTCTGTACAGAGTGTTGTACAAGCAGACTTGCACAAAGATAATTTCTGCAGCACTACTTATAGTAGCAAAAAATTGGAAACATCTGAAATGTTTATCAATGGAAATGAATACTCAAATTCAATTATATTCATACAGTGAAATCTCAAGTGCACTTAAAGTGAATGAACTTGAGCTATTTGCAATTGACATGGGCAAATCTCAGAGATATAGTATTGGGAGAAAAGCTAAGTTTTTTGGTTTTTTTTATAAAGATGACCGGTAAGGGGATCTCAACCCTTGGCTTGGTGTTGTCAGCACCACACTCAGCCAGTGAGCAAACCGGCCATCCCTATATAGGATCCGAACCCGTGGTCGTATAACTTCGTATAATGTATGCTATACGAAGTTATTACGAGATGATAGTTTGGTTTTCTCTCATTAGCATGCTATATATCCCTTTTATAAAAATATTGGACATTGGGGCCGACCCCATGGTGCGCTCGGGAGAGTGCAGCACTGGGAGCGGCGCTCCTGCTGCGGGGTCTAAGCCAAGTTTTAAAAGCATTTGTGCAGTGTGGTAGCATTTTATGTAAATTTTTAAAACTACAAAACATTGTTATATATTCATATGAGTATATATAAAAATGTTCAGAATGTTTTAAATCATTCATGCAGAATTGGCTTTTATATATTTAGTACTTTTCCTAATATACTTAACATATATGTAAGATTTTAGACAATAGTCTCTAATTTGTTGTTTTCCTGGAAAATTTATCCTTGAATTTTTATGTATTATCACCTATAGATTGTCTCCTCCAACTGCTCTTGTAAAGAGCTTAATATAATGCTTCCTGATATGCAGTGGATATTCTTGACCTAATGAGAGGGTAGAAGGAATCTCAAATTAGTTCTAGATATGTTATCAATTTTGAAGATTCATGTGGCAAAATAAAACAAGATTGAGAAATGATTTTTTATTTCTAATTTGTTTTAGGTCTCCTCTTACCTGGGTCTCATTACTTGGGACGTTTTCAGGATCGTTTAATATGGGTAATGATTCTAGAACATGGGTATACTTATTGCTGTATTAACATTAAGGTCAGTGTGCATTTGAAACCTCTCTAGTATTTTTATAGTGTGTGTGTAAAATTTTACCTGTTATGTACACATCAAGCGCTTAACAGCTCAATTTGAAAGAATATCTTTTTATTTAGCTGTGAAAACACGTAGGGATTTTAAAAGTTTATTTCAGGCCCAGCCCCATTGGCTCACTCGGGAGAGTGCGGTGCTGGTAGTGCCGAGGCCGTGGGTTCGAATCCTATATAGGGATGGCTGGTGCGCTCACTGGCTGAGCATGGTGCAGACAACACCAAGCCAAGGGTTGCAATCCCCTTACCGGTCAAAAAGAAAAAAAAAGTTTATTTCAGTAAGCACATATTGATAGGTGGACTGGTGTTAGTTGTATAATAGACTGTTGTAACAAAGTATACCTTCTCCCTTTTCTTTCAGTCCTGTTTTTTTTAATATCTATCTAGTTGAACATCTCAGAAGTGTGAACCAGTAATATTTTGTTTAACTCCTATATCATATAAGCATTCTCGAGTAACAAATACCATCTTCTAACCCATACTTCGCCTATCTGCTACACCCTGTTTCTCTCCTTTAAGAGCAGAAAGCTTTTGAGTTCTTTATTATTAAATCTCCAGTTCCATTTTTCCCATTTTATTTTCAACTTAACTCTCAGTTTTTGACCCCCTTACTCCACCACAAACTGCTCTCATATGCCTTTCGCGTTGCTAAAACTAATGATCAACTCTCAGACCCAATCTTACTTGACCTGTCAGCAGCCTGGATACAGTTGATCTCTTCTCTTCACTTAGTTCACTCCTTCTGAGTCTCCTTTGATGGTTCCTTCTCTTTTCCTTGCCCTCTTAACATCAGAGTACCCCAGAGCCTAGCAGTCTTTTATGACAACTCTATCATTCCAGTTGCTCAGGCCAAAAACACTAGAGTCGTATTTGACCCCACATGCAATCCAGCAAGAAATTGTGTTAGCCTTACTGTTAAACCATATCCTGTGTCCCATCACATTTTACTACCTTGTTCCCAGCCACCTTCATCTCTTACCTAGATAACTGCAATAGCCTCCTAATTGTTCTCCCTACTTCTGTCTGTTCCCCACTACAGTCTTTTGTCAACCAGAATGATCTTTAAAAACTAAGTCAGATCATGTCATTTCTTTACTCAGTACCCTGTGGTGAATCCCTTCTTTCATTCGGAGTAAAAACACAGCCCTAAATGGTAAGGCTCTCTGTTCCTTCTTTGGCCTCATCTATTACTTTAACCCTCTCACTCTATTCCAGCATACTTCCTGTGCCTGGAACACTCAATTCCTTCCTATAATCATAAAGCTAATTCCCTCACCATCTTCAGGTCTTTGCTCAAATGTCACCTTCTCAATGAGGTCTCCTATAACCATCATATTTAAAATTACACTTCCATTCCCATCCCAGTATTCCCAATCTGTTTTAGTCCATTTCTGTTGCTTATAACAAAATACACAGAACTGGGTGATTTATAAAGAAAATGAAATTTATTACTTACAGTTTCTGAAGCTGGAAAGTCCAAAGTTCAAGGAACACATCTGGTGGTGGTCTTGGTGGTGGCAACAGTGACCTAGGGGGTGTCAAATTGAGAGAGGGCAGAAGCAGAGAGAGCAGAAAGAGACAGACTCTCTTCTCTCTTCTTTTAAAGTCCTCAGAACCACACCCATGACCATCATTATTAATCCATTCACTACTGCATGGACCTACAATCCAATCACCTCTTCAAGGCTCCACCTTTCAATTACTGTAATAGGATTTCCCATCCTCTTAACAGTCACAGTGGGGGCCAAGTTTCTAATACATAAAACTTGGGGGATACAATTCAAGCTTCAATGAGTCTGCAGGGGGACATTCAATGCACTACACAATCCCCTTGCCTTACTTTACTTTTTCCTTATTTTTATAGCACTTACACCTTCTAACAAACTATGTAATTTTAACAAGCTATATATTTAGTTTTATTGTTGGTTGCCCATATTCCTCACTCTCTAACATAAATGTCACGAGGGCGAGGATCTTTTATTCTTATTTGGGAATATATCCTGAACCCCTGGAATAGTGTCTGACATAGAATAGACCTTTAATAAATATTTTTTGAATGGATAGTGAATGAATGAATTTTTCATCTTTAGCACACATTGGATAAAATTGCTGGTGAATAAAAAACTGTCCCTTTAGTCCAGTGGTTCTCAAAATGTAATCTGTAAACTATAATATTAACCTCTCCTGGGAACTTGTTACAAATAGAAACTCGTGAGCCCTACCTTGAATCTCCTGAATCATAAGCTGTACAGGTAGGACCAGCAATCTGTGTTTTAAGGAATGCTCCACATGATTGACTCACCTAAAGTTTGGGAACTTCTGCTCTAGTCTAACCTGTACAAGCATGAGAAGATAAAAAAATCATGAAAAATATCAAAGACATTTTGTTGCTTAATTCTATTCTGTTTAAAAAATGGTATGGTTTAATAATACATAATACTGTGGGTCTTATTAGCCTTTTGTGCTCTGTGACATGTGGTTTAAGAATATACTTTTTGGTGGCAGTCTTTTGGGGGTTTTGTTTGTTTTGACACAAGCTGGCTTAAGCTATGCCATCTACTAATATTCATATAACACTTTAGTTTTATAAAACTTGCTCAATTTAATTTTCACAACCCAATGTGCTAGGATTCTTTGAAAGAGAGGTAAAAGGAATCTCAGAGATGGTAGCTGACCTATTCAAGTTGTGTGCAAGAACCTGGTGGAACCACGACTTAAAAACAGGTTCTAAAGGCACTGGTAGTTTTGTAGAAATATATAAATAAGTAAGCAGCAATAATAATAATAGTAAACAGTGAGCTGGTACTTTCTCTTCAAGTGATTTCTTCTAAGGAAATAATCAAAATGTATTTAAGGGGCCAGCCCGGTGGCGCACTGCTACAGTGCACCACTTGGGAGCGCGGCGGAGCTCCGGCCGAGGGTTCGGATCCCACATAAAGACCGGTTCCCGCTCACTGGCTGAGCAAGGTGCGGGTGCGACACTGAGGGTTGCGATCCGTTGCCGGACACGAAAAAAGACAAAAAGGAAAAAAAAAATGTATTTAAAATATATGTAAGATGGGCCGGCCCGGTGGCGCACTGGATAAGTGCGCCGCTTGGGAAGCGCGGCGGCGCTCCCGCCCGAGGGTTCGGATCCCACATACAGACCGGTTCCCACTCACTGGCTGAGCGAGGCGCAGGAGCAGCACCGAGGGTTGCAATCCCGTTGCCGGTCCCCGGTCCGGTACGGGGGCAACACTGAGGGTTGCGATCCGTTGCTGGACACGGAAAAAGATAAAAGACAAAAAAACATATATATATATGTAAGAACTTGTTCATAATATTCATTCGCTCAACATCCATTTGTTGCATACACACTTTGTAACAGGTAAAGTTTAGGCAGTGGGGATGTAGTAGTAACCAAAAGAAAGCTGCCTTATGGAGTTTATATTGTAATTGAAGGAGACAGGTAGTAATTAAATAAATAAGTCTGTATCATTATTATGTTGTTATAAAAAACTAGAACAGGAGAATGGTTATATGGATATTCAAGTCTTTTAAAATTATGTTCATCCTCAATAAATTTGTTTGCCCAATTTCTAGTGGAATTTCTATAATTTCTCTTAAAATAGTTGTAGTATGGGCCGGCCCGGTGGCGCACTGCTACAGTGCGCCGCTTGCGAGCGCGGTGGCGCTCCCGCCAAGGGTTCGGATCCCACATGCAGACCGATTCCCGCTCACTGGCTGAGCGAGGTGCGGGTGCAGCACCGAGGTTTGCGATCCCGTTGCCGGTCCCGGTCCGGTACGGGCGTGACACTGAGGGTTGCGATCCGTTGCCGGACACGAAAAAAGACAAAAAGTAAAAAAAATAAATAAATAAAATAAAATAAAATAAAATAGTTGTAGTAGCATTTTTTATCTCTCTCTTCAACAATGAATGTATTAAATGCATTAAGTTAAGGTGTAACTCTTGAATTAAAGAAATTTTTTTGTTATTTTCTATATTTTATGATAAGAATTTATGGACATCTACAAGACTACTTGCTGTTCTCTGTGTAATAAATAATCACAAACTCAAGTACTTTTTATTTCCTTTTAAGGGATTAGAATTGCAAGAAACATCCTGTCATACTGCTGAAGCTCGAAGAGTTGATGAAGTTTTTGAAGGTGCTTTTGAGCAAGAAGAATACACAAAAGTATGTTCCCTTAATGAACACTTTGGAAATGTCTTGACACCCTGTACTGTTTTGCCTGTGAAACTGTATTCTGATGCCAGGAATGTCCTATCTGGCATAATCGATTCTCACGAAAACTTGAAAGAATTTAAAAGTGACCTTGTTAAAGTACTTGTGTGGATATTCATTCAATACTGCTCTAAAAGGCCCAGCATGCAGCAGGATGTTCACAAAACTGAAAATAAAGGGAAAGCACCTCTAATAACCTTGCCTGCCTTAAACACTTCACCACATTCCAAATCACCAGAAGACACAGGTAGTTTAAATTCAGAAACTCTTGATGACTGGTCTGATGATGATAATATTTTTGATGATGAGCCAACTATCAAAAAAGGAAAAGAAGAAAAAGATCAGTTGAAAGATTTGCCAGGTACAAATTTGCCTATTCCAGGATCGGTAGAATCACAGAGCATTGATGATCATCTTTCAGTTCCTGAAAACAATCTTTACAAAGCAGTTTTACTGGGATACCCAGCTATTGACAAAGGAAAACAAGAAGACATGGCATATATCCCTCTCATGAAGTTCAGTTGTTCACATTCTCACTTGTTAAGCTTACCTGAAGAGTGGAGGTCTAATTGTATGCCTAATTCCAAAATGAAGGAGATGAGCTTGTTATTTCCGGAAGACTGGTACCAGTTTGTTTTAAGGCAGTTGGAATGTTTTCATTCAGAGGAAAAGGACTCAAATGTACTGGAAGAAATTGCAAAGGACAAAATTTTAAAAGACTTATATGTTCATACAGTTATGACTTGTTATTTTAGTTTATTTGGAATAGACAATACAGCTCCTACTCCTGGTCATATATTGAGAGTTTACAGTGGTGTTTTGCCTTGGTCTGTTGCCTTGGATTGGCTCACAGAAAAACCAGAACTGTTCCAACTAGCACTGAAAGCTTTCAGGTAACTCATTTTCATTATGTACAAGTTGTAACCTTGGCAGGAAAATGTTGATTTTTTAAATGACCAAGAAGATGACTTACTCTTTTATTTCTGATTTTTTTTAAAAAAATCCCTTTCTTAAAAATGGGGGAAAAAAATGCATAGTATGTATAGTGATTATATCAGGAATGCACTTTAATTTGTACTTCTTTTTATTTATGTGGAGAACCTATTCATATGGCTTACTGAATTTCTTCACTTTAACTGCATCATTTCTCCCTCAACTTTTTATCTAAAATATTTATGATTTCAGTTCAATATCTTAAAAATATAGATTGAACAAAATCTGTTTCATCTTATAAAGTTGATTTTAAAAATTCAAAAATTATTTGGTTCTCCATTTTTTAGGTATACTCTGAAACTAATGATTGATAAAGCAAGTTTAGGTCCAATAGAAGACTTTAAAGAGCTGATTAACTGCCTTGAAGAATATGAAAGTGACTGGTACATTGGTTTGGTATCTGATGAAAAATGGAAAGAAGCAATTTTACAAGAAAAGCCATACCTGTTTTCTCTAGGTTATGATCCTAATATGGTAAGGTTAAAAATGTTTTAAAATATTTTCACATATTAACCTTATATATGGATATCAGTTATAATGTATTTGAACTAAGTAGATGATATATGTAACATTCTAAATGTTCATATATTAATAATTATAGTTTCAAGGCATTTATACTCATAACTTTATGACCAATAGTCCAACCCTAGTGTAGATGATTCATTTGTTTTTGCCAACTCAATAGGAGCCAATTAAACATGTAATTTGCTATAACATTTTTGATGAAATATATTGTATTCTTATGCCCAGTTCAAGTGTATGAATTATCACTTTGGATTTGACTCTTAGAAGAGAAATTAATTTGCAAGTGGCAAAGTATTTCTTTTGCTGACATCTATACTTTATTTGAAGCAGTGAAAATTCAGACAGACTCCAAATAGGGGATGACTTTTAGAAATTTACTAGTACTTCTTATTGCATTTAAAAGGTTAAGTGTGCATAATATGAAAGATTCAATGTTACAAACCTATTGTGGATTTTACATCTGTCTGGCATTACAGTGTGAAGATATCTGCAAATGTGCAAAAAAATAAACCATTGAAAGTCTTGTAAATGGTCCTAAGGGCATACAGCAAATGAAGATGAAGAGACATTTATTCCAGAAAATCTACTAAAACCCAGTAAGAACAGCAAGGAAGTGCAGTATTTGAATTAAGACCCAGTCCCTCCCACCCCAGTAAGATGGAAACTCTACTTAGACTGAAATAACTAAGAACACAGGGCTCTGTCTCTCCTCACCTCCCAGTTGGAGGGACTGTTTTCCCAGGAGAGGCAGGAGTTTAGCATTTCTCATACTGTCCCCAGCTACCTGTTGCTAACGTATGATTCCAGGCATGTGTAGTTGAGAGCTGGGTACTCCTTTCTGGCCAACCCCACTCATGAGATGGAGTTCTTATCTTGGGCTTGGTGCCACTGAGAATAGGGCCCTGATCAACTTTGCCCACTCATAAGGTGGAGATTTTTTTGCTTGGAGAGGCAAGCTGAAGAAACATACGGCTACTGCTCCACCTCCACCAAGTATCACTGAGAGAGAGAAGTATGCTTTTATTCTACCCCCAGATCCAGAACTCTGGCTCAGAGACTTTTCCTGGTAGGAGAAGCAAATCATATAAAAGGCTCCAAATCTCTTCCCAGAGGAGCTGATTCATTTGCAGTATTGTGTGGACGTATCAAAGCTTAAGATGCTTACAAAATGATGGAGATTGTGGCAAAAAGTAATTACAAGGAAATCGGTGGGTTCATTAGAGATATAAGCTAAACTGTAAACTGGCTAGATTAACAGAGAGAAATAGGGAAAGAAACTGCAGAGAAGAGCCCTCCCAGGGTCAAAACAAATCTCAGATACTGACATCAAAAGATGTTCCTTTGAAGGAGCTCCAATTCAATTGGATCAGTTTATGGGGCAATTTATGCCCCAAGTCATTGTTGAAAACATAGAGCAGCCAGCTGGCAATCAGTAGAGCTTAACAGCTGGGTGGGAACACTTAACAAAGAATAACTCTGACAAAACCACTGCTTTCGCAAGTTAACTGGCCATTCATAGGGCTGCACTTCCTGAGGGGCAATATTTGAGACTTCACACTGGGCAGGGAGATGGGACTGGGAGTGGAGAGCACGTAAGAATTGACTTCACTAAAGTAATCCACACTCGGTAAACAAACAAGCACATAACAATCACAAGCCTGGCGGCGGGGAGGGTAGGGTAGGAGAAATAGTACACAGACTTTCTATAGTGTGATCTAAAATGTCTAATTTTCTACAAAAAATTATGAGACATGCAGAGAAATGCAAAGGTCCAACCCATAAATCAGGGGAAAAAAGCAGACAGCAGAAATTGCCTGTGAGAACAACCAGATGTCAGGTTTAACAAAGATTTCAGAGTATCCCTTATGATAAATATGTTCAAAGAATCAAAAGAAACCATGATTAAAGAAAAAAAGGAAGGTACAATGACAATATCACATCAAATAGAGAATACCAATACAGATAGGAATTATAAAAGAAAGAACAAAAGGAAAAATTTACTAGAGGGATTCAGCAGTAGATTTGAAATAGCAGAAGAAAGAATTAGTGAACTTGAAGATTGTAGATCAATAGAAATGATGCAGTCCAAAGAAGAGAGAGAAAAAATAATTGATAAAAAGGAAGAGAGACTCAAAGAAATATGGGACACCATTAACTGCACCAACATACACATAATGAGTACCAGAAGGAGAAAGGAGAGAGAGAGAAAGGAGAATAAGTTATTTGAAGAAATAATGGCTGAAAACTTCCCAGATTTGTTGAAAAATGTTAACCTTTACTTCCAAGAAGCTCAAAGAACTCCAAGTAGGATAAACTCAAAGAAATCCACACCAAGACACTTCATAATCAACTATCAAAGTCAAAAGTAAAGAGAAGATCTTAAAACATACATCCAGGAAGCTGAATTAACTTCAAGTAGGATAAATGCAAAGAGATCCACAAGCAAACACATCATAGGAAGAATACTTAAAGCCAGAGACCAGGAGAAAATCTTGAAAGCACCAAGCAAGAGCAACATGTAAATTTTAAGGAAACTCTGATGAGATTAACAGCTGACTTGTCATCAGAAACAGTGGAGGCCACAGGCATGGAATGACTTATTCAAAGTGCTCAAAAAACAAACAAAACCTGTTAACGAAGAATTCTATATACAGCACAGTGATCTTTTAAAAATAAAAGCAAAATAAAGACATTCCCAGATAAACAAAAACTAAGAGAATTTGTTCCTAGCATACCCACTGTACAAGAAATACTTAAAGAGTTCTGCAGGCTGAAAGCAAGTGACCCCAGACAATAATTCAAATCCATATAAAAATAAAGGAGCACTAGTGTATTAGTCCATTTCTGTTGCTTATAACAAAATAACATGGGAGAGGGTAACTTATAAAAAAACTAAACTTATGGCTTAGACCTTTGGAGGCTGAGAAGTCTAAAGTCCAGGAAACACATCTGGTGAGGGTCTTGGTGGTGGCTTTACAGCTATGTAAGGGCCCCACATAGCAGAAAATGGTGGAGCAGAGAGAGTGAGAGACCAATTTCCTCATTCACTCTCATTTTAAAGCCCTTAGAACCACACCCTGACACCATTATTAATACATTCACTACAATCTAATCACCTCTTCAAGGCCCCACCTTTCAATTACCATAATAGGGTTTCATACCCTCTCTATACTGTCACAGCAGGGCTTAGATTTTGGGGGGACATTGAACCCAAGGAATCCAGTAAAGATTACTATGTAATTATAAAAAATATTATAAATGCATATTTCTTCTCCTTTCTTCTCTAACTGATTTGAAAAGTAATTGTATAAAATAATATGTGTCTAATTTATTGTTGGGCCTATAACATATAGAAAGGTTTTTTTTGTTTTGGGGAGTTTTTTGGCTATATAATTGCACAGAGGAGGCCAGTAGGAGGAAAGCTGTACTGGGCAAAGGAAATTACTCCAGATGATAACTTGAATCTACAGTGATAAAGGAAGAAAACCAGAAATTTTGAATAAGAAGTTAATATAATAAAGCAATAAATATATACTTTCTCAATTTTCTCTCAACTTCTTTAAATGACATAAAATTATATAAAGTAATAATTATAACAATATATTATTGAGTTTGTAACATTTGTAGATGTAATATATATAACAGTAACACCACAGAAAGGAGAAAAGGGGAGTAGAACTATATGCAGCTACTTCAGAAATTTTGTGGAAAAAGTAGAATTGAAAGATAATGTGAGTTTTTCCATGAACTTTTGAAGTACTCTTGTACAGGAGTAGCATTTCTGTATCTCACCAGAATTAAGTTAGTGAAATCTGAAGCTGACTCTGATAAGTTAAGACAGAGATGGTAAGCTGTAGGATACTGCTGAGGATATACTTGTTGGGGTGGGGAGTGAGAAATTATTTAAAAAATTAAAATGCTATGTTACAAAATATTTACATTAATGCAAAAGAAAGTACTAAAGGAGGAATAGAGGATTAAAAAAGACATGGGACATAGAAGACAGAAAGGAAAATGACAGACAAAATCCAACTATATCAATAACAACATGAAATGGGAATGGATTAAATAATCTAAGTGAAAAGTAGAGATTGTCAGACTTGATTGAAAAACAAGATCCAACATCCAACTGTATACTATATGTCCAACTATATGCAACAGGAGGCATACTTTATATTCAAAGGCATACATATGTTGGAAAAAAAGGATGGAAAAATATATCATGCAATTAGCAACCACAAGAAAGCTGGAATACCAATACTAATAATAGAAAAAAATAGACTTTAAAATAAAAATGGTTACTAGAGATTACAAGGGACATTTTATACTGATAAAAGGGTCACCATCCATCAGGAAGATAAACAATTATATATGCAACTAACAAAAGAGCACCAAAGTATATGAAGAAAAATCTCAGAACAACGAAGCAGATCAAAAAAGAAATAGAATATTTGAACAACACTATAAACTAACTATACTAAGCAAATATCTATAGAACACTCCACCCAACAAGAACAGAATATGGGGGCCGGCCTGGTGGCGCACTGCTACAGTGCGCCGCTTAGGAGCGCGGCGGCGCTCCCGCTGAGGGTTCGGATCCCACATACAGACTGGTTCCCGCTCACTGGCTGAGCGAGGTGTGGGCGCAACGCCGAGGGTTGTGATCCCGTTGCTGGTCCCGGTCCGGTACGGGCGCGACACTGAGGGTTGCGATCCATTGCCGGACACGAAAAAAGACAAAAAGAAAAAAAAAAAAAAAAAGAACAGAATATGCATTCTTTTCAAGTGCACATGGAGCATTCTCCAGGATAAACCGTTTTCTAGGACATAAAACAAACCTCAATAAATGTAAAAGGAGTACTATAATACAAAGTATATCCATGTAGGAAACTCACAAACATGGAAATTAAACAACACACTCCTAAGTCACCAATGGGTCAGAGAAGAAA